GGTTTTCTTGCTGAAAAATAAACATGATGTTGCTTCTATCCTTCCAGAGTTCTGTACTATGGTGTCTACTCAGTTTCATGCTCAGGTCAAAGTATTCCGAACTGATAACGGAGGCGAATATGTGAATAACACTTTGGCATCTTTCTTCTGTGCTCAAGGTATTATTCACCAAACGTCAACCTCATTTACTCCTCAGCAGAACGATGTGTCTGAACGCAAGAATCGTCAGTTACTTGAAGTTGCCTGCTCCCTTATGTTGGACTTGTCTGTTCCCCATCATCTTTCGGGGCATGCTGTTTTATCTGCTGCCTATTTGAATAATCGTACACCTGGCCGGGTTCTTGATTTCAAGACTCCACATAATGTGTTTGGTGACCATGTTTCCTCTGTCTCGGTCTCTAAGTTGCCCCCTAAAGTCTTTGGGTGTGTTGCCTATGTTCATGTCTACTCTCATCAACGGAGTAAACTTGATCCTTGTGCTCTGCGATGTGTTTTTATTGGTTACTCGTCTACTTAGAAAGGTTATAAGTGCTATCATTCATCTACCCAGAAGATGCATGTTACTTTGGATGTGACTTTCTATGAAGAAGTGCCCTATTATGTATCTCCCTCCTCTCCAATTCAGGGGGAGATGGGGAGTGAATTGGAGAGTCTTGGATTGGATAATGATGTATTTAAAGATGCTGCTCTTGGGAAGGAAACGACCTGTCACACTGAAGCAAGTGACCGGTCACCCATATATGAAGATGAAACTTGTGGTCCCTGTGAAGAAACTACTGATCGCCCTTTGGAACTCGATCAGTCGCCCATATCTGGAGATGAAGCAGGTGCTCTCGGTGTCACTGAAGCAAGTGACCAGTCGCCTATATCTGAAAATAATGACAGTGATTCTTGTATGGATGAGTTCGATGTAATATCCCCTCTGCCCTGCCATTGCCCCAATATACTCATGATAGTGAATCAAGTGAGGTAATTTCTAATGATCTACCTGTGTCAACTTATCAGTTACCCCCACGAACCACTCATGGGAAACCTAAAGTACAATATTCTCCTGATATAAATGCCAAGTCTAAGTATCCCATTAGCCATTTTGTGTCAACTCATCGTTTGTCTAAGTCATATGCATCATATTTGTGTCAATTATCTAGTGTATGTGTGCCAACTAAGTTGCAGGATGCTTTATCTAACCCAAAATGGATGGATGACATGAATGTTGAAATGGATGCCTTGAACAAGAATAAAACATGGGATTTAGTTCCTTTGCCACGAGGGAAGAAAGCTGTTGGATGCAGATGGGTGTTTACTTTGAAGCATAAAGCTGATGGTTCCATTGACCGTTATAAGGCTAGATTGGTAGCAAAGGGTTATACTCAGACTTATGGAGTGGATTATTTGGAGACCTTTGCTCCAGTGGCAAAGCTCAATACTGTGCGTGTACCATTGTCCTTGGCTGCTAACCGCGACTGGCCCTTATTACAATTCAATGTCAAAAATGCATTCCTTCATGGTGACCTCAAGGAAGAAATATACATGGACCCTCCGTCAGGTATCCCTGTAACCTCTAAGGAGGGTATGGTGTGCAAACTACAGAAATCCTTATATGGATTAAAGCAGTCTCCAAGAGCTTAGTTTGGGAGGTTTGCTACATCTATGAGGAAGTCTGGGTATGTACAAAGTAATTTGGATCATACTTTGTTTCTGAAGCGTTGGAAAGGTAAATTGACAGCTTTAATAATTTATATTGATGATATGATTGTAACTAGAGATGATCAGACAGAATTACAGAGTCTCCAAAAATATCTGGCGTCTGAATTTGAGATGAAATCATTAGGTGACTTGAAGTACTTTCTCGGGATTGAAGTGGTCAGATCTAAGCATGTTATTTTCTTGTCCCAAATGAAGTATGTTTTGGATTTACTTGCAGAAACTGGAATGTTGGATTGTAAACCAATTGATACTCCTAGTGAACATAATCACAAGTTGGGGTTATATCCTGATCAAGTTCCTACTGATAAGGGGCGCTATCAACGACTTGTGGGGAAATTAATTTATTTAGCTCATACACGTCCTGACATTGCGTATGCAGTAAGTGTGGTGAGTCAGTTTATGCACGCACCTAGTGAAGATCATATGGCAGCTGTGACGCGTATTTTGAGATATCTCAAAGTAACTCCTGGCAAAGGGTTAATGTTTTCCAAGTATGGTCATACAGATGTGGAAGGATACACCGATGCTGATTAGGCAGGTTCGGCTACTGATAGACATTTTACGTCTGGGTATTTTACGTTTGTTGGTGGTAATCTAGTTACTTAGAGAAGCAAGAAACAAAAGGTGGTGTCTCGATCTAGTCCTGAGGCCGAATATCGTGGAATGGCCCATGGTGTATGTGAGTTATTGTGGTTGAGGAGATTATTGAGAGATCTTGGCTTTGGGCCTAAGAAACCTATGAATTTATATTGCGATAATAAGGCTGCGATTGCAATTGCTCATAACCCTGTACAACATGATCGTACAAAGCATGTGGAGGTTGATCGAAATTTCATTAAAGAAAAGTTGGATGCGGAGATTGTGTCCTTCCCATTCATAAATTTTGAGTATCAGTTAGCAGATGTCCTTACGAAGGCTGTTTCTACTAGTATCTTCCACAACTCGCTTGACAAGTTGGGCATGTGTGACGTCTTTACTCCAACTTGAGGGGGAGTGTTGGCGAGATATCCTAGTCTTATTAGGATATTTCTTTCTTATTCTATTAGGATTTTATTTGTTTCCTTTTTGTATAGATATTATGTAATTAGGACTTTTCTTATTTCCTAGTATAACCCTACTAGGGTTTGTAACCTTGTATTATAAATACCTCCTTTCGGAGAATGAAATACATCTGAAATATTCTGCCCATATTGTTTAACTCAATACACATACGAAGAGTTGGGTGTCTTGGTGGGTGTCAGAATCCTAGATTCAATGGTGGAGTTGCTGTAGATAACCAGCATGTCTGAGGAGTTGAAGCCATTGAACACAAAGTCCACAGCCAAAGCTGATTGGAGAGATAGAATTGCAAGTAGTGAAATTAGCAGGAGGAGAGGTTTGGGATGTGGGTTTGTTTCTTTCATTGTAGAAAAGCAGAGGAAGCTGAAAAGGAAAATGGAGGAATAGACGGAGACGGGGGATGGAGGAGGACTCCCAGTTGAAGGATTTTTAATTTTTAATTTTCTTCTTTGTATAAATAGTTTTAATTTTCTTTTAAATATGACACATGGCAAATTTTGAATAGGTGTATCATATGCTGACGTGGTAGTACCGTCCTAGTCTATAATCTCTCCAAAAATAGGTCGTGATCTTTCTCAGTTCTCAACTTCTTGCACAGAAGAATCTAAAGAAGATAAGAGAAGAGAAGAAATGAGTGGAGAAGAATTAGCGGGCCCCCCAACCCCAAAGCTCCTCCGTCTACTTTATGTTGGTTGCGTTATTGACTTTAGACAATCAAGTTAAATTGCAAATGTATTACAACTTGTTTATTGAAGACTTGTTATAAGCTGTATAGGATGTGTCATGATTTTTTTTTAACACTAAGTCAATGCGTTTTCTGATTTGGTTCTGCTCTTTTAGTTTGTAAACAATTTTATTGTATTTTCACTTGTTTGCATGAGTTTAGGGTTTCTTTTCCCCCATAGCTTTATGAACCGAACAACATATATCCTTTAAATTTGAGTCCAGTTACTTTGAAATGAAGAATAAAGAACCACACACTCCCCAAAATCCTACTATGAACCCCAACATAACGAAAATATAAAACCACGAAAGTTGATGATGCCCATTGCCCTCGTCTTTGTTGTTTTTGTTATCTACATCCATGTCCTTATTTGGTCCACACTTATTGGGAAGTGGGGCACCACAAAGTTTTGGATTCCCCTCAAAGGCAGAAGCATTGAAGCTTTGGAGCTGGGTGCTTGTTGGTATTGGTCCTTCAAGATTATTGTAAGAGACATTAAATTCTCTCAAGAAATTAAGGCTCACCAATGACGATGGGATTATTCCAGAAAAATGATTTGAGGAGAACTCTAAAACCTCTAGATTTTTTAGGTTAGATATTTGGTTTGGAATGATGCCGGAGAAGTTGTTGGAGCCAAGAAAAAACTGGTGGAGAAGCTGCAATTGGCCGATCTCAGTAGGTATATGACCACTAATATTATTGTTAGATAAGTCTATCGTTTGTGGAAAATAAGACAATTTTTGTTGTAGATAACTTTGATTTGCGATTATCTCGCTAATGAAGGTAGGCAATTCAAATTCATATTGGTCTTCTACTTTAGGTTCATAAAGCAACCTTGGTAATCTACAAAGTTGCTTTGGAAATTCACCTGAAATTTGGTTGTCTGACAAGTCTATATAAAACAGTCTAGGAAAAGTCCCCAACCAACTTGGAATTGGCCCTGTGATTTGATTAGAACGCATTTCCAAGATCTGTAAATTCTTGAGCTTTGATAACCATACAGGTATTTGACCCGTGTAGTTAGAACTAGCCAAACTCAAAAGCTTTAGATTTTGGAATCCATCAAAATCTACCATGTCATCATCAGATGGCATTCCCTCGCCTACAAAGGAACCATCAAGCATGAGTGTGTGAAGACTTTTGCAACTCATCAATATCTTTATTGCCCCTGTCAGGTTGGTGAATCGGTTAAATGCAAGTGAGAGGAAAGACAAGAATTGCAATGAAAGAATCTCAGCTTTTATTTGTCCCTCTAGATGATTTTTACTCAATGCAATGGCTTTTAGGGACCAACATGAGTAAAGGCTTACTGGAATCATACCAGTGAAGTTATTGTTCCTTAGATCCAGTTTAGTAAGTTGACTAAGTCTGGAAAAATCAAGGATGGAGATATCTCCTTCCAAGCTGTTGGATCCCAAATGCAATTCTACAAGGTTTGTGCAATTCATCAGAGATGGGGGCAAAGCACCTTCTAAATTGTTGAAATCAAAAGTCACAAACTTCAACTTGGAGAGCTTCCCCAAATTGAGAGGAAGCTCGCCACCAAAATGATTATAGGAGAGGTCAAGGATGGCAAGGTTGGTGAGGTTGACAATTTTATCACTAATGGCTCCATGTAGTGAATTGAGAGGTAATGCAATTTCTTCAAGTTTGGTAGCATTATAGATATCTTCTGGAAATAATCCTAAGAGGTTATTGTGACCGGCACGAAAAACCTGCAGTTTGGAACACTTCCCTAGCCCAGGAGCAAGGTTGCCACTGAATACATTGGAAGAAAAATCCAATAGCCTAAGGGAGGGAGAAGAATGGACACAAAGGGAGGATGGAACATACCCAGTGAAGGTGTTGTTGCTGACATTGAAACTAGTCAAGTTGCTTCCTTGTTGGAAGAATGAAGATGGAATTGCACCAAAGAAGTGATTGCTGGACAAATCCACTGTCCGGATATTGCTGGATGGTAGAGAAAGTGGTAGCTCTCCAGAAAGACAATTATAGCTCAAATCAAGGATCTCAAGTCGATTCAAAGACAAGAAGAACTGAGTTTCAAGTGAACCATATAGTGAATTGTGGGAAAGGTTCAAGTGAGTGAGATGCGTGAGATTTGCAAGTGAAGAGGGAGAGATACCTCCTTTGAGCCCTTTGGAAGGCAAGAGCAAACGGGTTACCCAACCATCTTGATCACAAGTGATGCCCTTCCAACGACAGCAATCAATGGATGTCCAATTTAAAGGAGGAGAAGAGAGAGTGGAGGCAAAGGACAAGAGGGAGCTGCGTTCAATTTGTTTGCAGGCATGAATATTCGTGGATATAATGTAAGGGAATAAGAGGAAGAGAAGGAAGGCGTGAGCCATTAGGTTATAAGCTTGCACTAGCATGTTGCTTTGTGTATGTGCCGTTGCTCACATGTATGTATATATATATAAGAGCAAACATGCTTGAAAAGGATGCAAACATCACTACTAATTGAGAAGTCGGCAAACAACAACCACACAATGCAAATTATTGATATTGAAACCCCTTTATACGTCGAAGATATATTTTCCATTAATGAAACCAAAGAGACGACCCCTTTTTTGGGCCACCAGGAGTGGACTTGACCGACTTAACTTGAGGGCTTCACGAAGTAGTCAAAGTTGGTGCCGTGATAAATGGTGATAATTTTTCATGGAAATTTTTGGAAGATATATGGTGTTATTTTTTTTGGCAGACAGACATGGCATGTGGCCTTAGAGTGATGGGCATGTTTGCCACTAACCTTGCTTGTAAATAATCGCTCATAATTTGTATCAATTGCCTTTTGGGTTTGTTTGGGATGTGAAATTGGATGAGTTGGTGATGATCACTTGTTCTTGTCTTTAAGTTACTAAAGCAAGCAGAAGCACTGAGACTGAGAGAGACAATAATTTCTTTGTGTAATTGCTTTGTGGGTTTTGTTTGTATTGTTGAATGGGATGAATGAACTAATGATGAAGTGAATTGGGTTGTATTCACCATTGTTCCTATATCTAAGTTACTAAACCAAGCACAAGCACAAGCAATGAAACCAAAGAGACGACTCTTTTGGCTCGATTTGGTTCACAGAACAGATTTGAGGGGAAATAACTTTTCATGTCATTTTTCAAGAGATGCATGAAAAATGGACGATTCATTTCCCATGTTGGGTAATGTTCGCACATGGGGGAATTCGAACCCCTCTCCTTCCCCATCCTCTTGCCCGACCTTATCCAACATGAAGTTATTATTGGAGGCTACAACGTTAATATTTGTACTTTCTCTTAAACTTTCTACAGGCTTTTGATAAAAACAAGGGAAAAAAAAATTTCTACAAGCTTATTTTAATCTTTCCTATGATATATTTAATCTGTTTAATGTTATTTATTATATTATTATGGAGGTGTATTATCTATTATCTATCTATATATAAAGCAAAAGCTAAAGAAGGTGTAGTAAATTATTATATATAAAAAAAAATATGGTGTTTTTAATTTTTTTTTAATTAATTACTACAAATTTGCGAAAGTCATAGTATTTGTCAGTTCGCTATATGATTAATTTAAATCACTCAAACCTACCATGCAATGCATTTCCTTCCCATTTTTTGTGATAAAATATTAGATAATTGACTAAATAAACATCTTCTAAAGTTTCAATAAAAATTTCCAAGTTTTTTCTCACAATTTTCATGGTTTTTATTCAATTTTTACCAATATCGATATTTACATCAATATATCTATATTTTTGGACCACCGATATTTCTGAAACCCTCGATATTTTAGACCTTGATTCTGATCACTTGTTCTCGTCTTTAAGTTACTAAAACAAGCACAAGCACTGAGACTGAGAGAGCATAATTTCTTTGTATAATTGCTTTGTGGGTTTTGCTTGTATTTTTGAATGGTATCAACTAATGATGAAGTGAATTGGGTTGTATTCACCATTGTCCCAGTATTTAAGTCACTAAGCCAAGCACAAGCACTGAGAGAGAAATGATACACATAATTGCTTTTTGGATTTTGTCTAGATTGTTTAATTGATTGAGAGCCGACCAATCGATGAAAAAGGTTGGGAGGAGAGAGAGAGAGAGAGAGAGAGAGACACCAGAGTTGAACATATAGGCTGCTTCATGACGGGCTTTGCCCTGCTTTTCAATGAAATGGGAGTAAAAAGAGCGGATACTTGATTTGCTACTGACATGCCCCTAGAGTTATTCAAATGCATCTATTTTGCCAACTTAACAATGTGGCTCAAGTACAACCTCTTCATAAATTGCCAAAGACAGAAAGGCCATTAATAACTCTTGAATTTTCTTTCTTATCTTGAATGGTGCAATGGCTGCTTCATCCCATCATTCACAACTGGAGCAATTTCTCTTCTTCTTCTCATGTTATGCCCTCTTCTCCTTTTTTTTCTCCTTTTTGTATAAAGATTGTTGCTTTTGGTGGAGGAATTAAATTACGGGTACCTGACCAATATTAGAAAGGTAAGCCTTTTATTAATTCATGGGTTTTCATTTTATGGGGTTTTTCTCATTCCTTTGCTATGAAGAACGAAATAGAGAGATTCATAATTTATGTTCGGTTTTGTTATGGCGTATGTTTTGTCAAAGATGGTTTTGTTTTCAATGGATTTTCATAGTGATGCTTATTGCTTTGTAATGGTTGAGCAAGAAGGTGAAGCAAAAAAGAGAAGAGGACATAACGTGTAGCAAGGAGGAAAAAGGAGAAGAGGACAGAAGTGAAGAAGAATAAGAAGAAAGAAAAAAAAAACTGCTTTTGGACGTTAACTATCCCCTTAGTTGAGTATTAGGGGTTTTTTTTCTTTTTTAATTAGGAGTAAATTGAATTTTTGTTTTAAGATGATGTGTCAATTTTTAAATCCTTATATTAAATTTTAATGAGGTGACGCATGAAGAATAAAAGTAAAATAGATCATGGCAGAGAAAATTAGAGCAGAGGATCCGGATCCGGATGCAAACATCACAAAGTACTCAAAGTTGTTGCCGTGATATATATGATAAATAGAATCCTTGTTGAATTCAAATTGGAATATGTTTTGACTATTTCCTTTTATTTTAAGGCAGCTGATAACTGATACCAGCGCATCTTCCATGTTAATCACTCAAAGTCCAAGTTCAAAGCTGTTTTCTCTTGTTGTTCTTGTTGATGGTGGATGTGGACCCCACCATCTTCTTCTGTTTATTTTGTCAATTTCTCCCACTTTCTATTTTGTTTGTTTTTTCTTTTGTTGCCCACCGCTCACTTTTGATCCCTCTGTTCCATCTTCTTGCGCGTTTATCCCTCTCTTGGGCTGCATTCTTGCACCACTGCTCACTCTTTATAGTCTGTTTCAATTATAAACTCATGAATTTTAGTAAAAGTAAAATGAAATTCTTTTAAGTCCTTGGGTTATAACAAATCCCTATTTTTATTCTTTTTTGTGCAAGAATGATAATTCTCTATCTTATAGTGTAGTGCGGTAGTATGACCACATAGTACGTAAAATGGAAAAATATCAACTTAGACCATTCATATTATAACACTTATATGAGCTATATTACGTACGAGAGTGGAACTAAAATTTTTCCAAAGGGTGCACTAATATTTTGTTAAACGATAAAACAAAATTAAGTCAAACCAAGAACAACTAAATTTTAATTTTTTATAACTTGAACGATTCAATTAACATGATATAAACTAGAAAACTAGGACTTTTCTTAACTACCCAGCAATAAAAGTGAAGAATTTGCACATATGGGAGTTGGCTGGGGTGGGCTAAATGTCAAAATCTTGAAATTACTTGCTATAAAAAGTATTTTTGACCAAGGTTGCACTGGGCTATAGTCGAGGGTAGCCTATATCTAGTTCCACCATTACCACGTGACCGGACTCCAACGCTGTTGTATAATTTCTCGTTAATTACAGAGAAGGTGCCTAATTTAAAGCACAAACTTCTGTTAAAATATATAGTTGCATAGGAAATGCTTGAGGCATTTGTTTGCATTATCAAATTGTCCATCTCTAGGGAACAAAGGGCCATAATTAATTAAACGTAGAACTGTTGGATTTGTTTAATTCATGAGAGTTCACCAAGGAATTTCATAATGTTTCTCAAAATATGATGAGGGAGGGAATTACTTTTCCCTCATTGAAGGACATTCCCAAAAGTTCAATATTCTTTTGCTCTTATGTTTTATGTCACTGACGACATCAAAATACAATTAATATAAATGAGGCAGTTTGTAGAGGACAAGCATAAATCTTTTTCATGTATAAATCCTATCCTAGGATTCTGACGTGATTACTTTTTTTTAATCCTATTCATCTTCGCTCACCACTTGGTCAATACCGGACATTAAGAAATTTATATCATTCGCCTTCAAGCACAAGAAATATCTTATTTCCCATGATAATCAAACTTGTACCTCGTTGGTCGGAAAGCACCAAAGATTTTCCCTAGTTACCTTCACAGTCAGCAGACTCTGGAATGGATAAGTGAAAGAGAATAGTAAGAGAATTATCAACCGAAGGAGCTGCTGTGGGCGAGGCTGAGACACTCAAGGTAGCGCAGGCGACTGGGCTGAAGAAAAACTGGCCAGCTGCAGCGACAACAGGTGCACTGCTCCAGCCATTCTTTTTCTTCACATGAGCCACTTTTCGTTGCTTCTGGCATTCAAGGAACCACTTCGGAAACCCATTCTCGTGAAAAACATGTGGCCTCTATATGACGGTTACCATTACAGTCAGTGCAATATATGCTTTCTTTTTCCTCAAGGGTTGGACAAGGAAAAGAAAAACTAGCAGTAAGGGCTTTTGAAACCATTACAGCAAAGGATTCAGTCCTTCCATCATTCTTGAGCATCGTCTCCCGGCTTTGGGCCTCTGTATGAATAAAAGCAAACGACTCCTCTAATTTTGGCAATGGACTTAACCTCAATAAATCTCCTCTAATTTTATCAAATTCATCATCTAGACTTGCAAGAAAATCATAAATATGGTCTTCCTGGATCTCAACATGAATCTTCACATCACAAGGACACTTCAGTTGATTGGATGACGAAGGTCTAGTTCCAACCAAATGCTCTTGAGCTCAGCAAAGTACGATGCAATATTGCGACCTCCTTGAGTAATATGGGTTGCTTTACACCTTAATTCATAAATCTGCCACTCATCATACACATCATAATACATCTAGGCTGAACTGTCCTACAAATCTTTAGCTATTGGTAGATCTAAGAAAAATTCTACCAAATCAGGTTCCATGGTTTTTATCAACCATTCTTTAACAATGGAATCCTCAATACACCACGAATCAAAGCTCGAAGCGTCTTCCTCCACTTGAGCCACCTTCCCTGTCAAATAACCTCTTTTTCCCTAGCATGAC